TGACTAAAAATCACCTACAAACGACTTACGACACTTGATAACTACTTATAAGTTCGCGAGGATAAGTCTCGTAAGTTCCATAACACACTTACTGCACTTCCTGATAACCAGTTCTTTTCTGGACTAAACAAAAACAAACAAATAGCATCTTCCACAAATACATATAACCACGCGGCTCCACTTGCTAAATGCTTATTGCTATATACCACATTTATTCAAGATATAACTTGGGTTACCGACGTTATAGTTATAACTACGGTTACAGTACATACTAAATGCTGTAACCACTTGCTTACCACACCGCCCCTCCAAGTAGGCCTCCAATCTGGGCAAGGCTCATTCGCACTGCAGAGCCTGAGCATGTGCGGCCGGAGGTGTGACCCGCACAGTGTGTGCGACCTTGCTGTAGGCGCTACAATGCCGAAGCAATAGCAAAGCAGTCTGAGGGTCAGGCAGCTCAGCCAGGGCACGCATCAAGCTGGCTGCCCTCCTGACCCGCTCCGTAGCTGTGGGAGTGTTGCAGAAGCTGGCACTGCCGACGGCAGCACCAAGCAGTGTAAAGTCGCCATGCTTTCTTACAAAGCCGGCAGGCAGGCCCCGAAGGTCAGCGCTGCTGGTAGGGCTAGTGATCACGACCTCTGACTTGCTTGGCTCTAAAACAAGCCCCACCCGCGCAGCGGCCGCCGTCAGCACGGCCAAGGCCTGTGTTACTTGCCGGCTGTTGCCTGCCAGTACCACGAGACTGCAGAACTGTCTACAGGCAGAATGGGGCTGCATCCAACGGTGATACAAAGAACTCTGACTCAACCCGCGCAGTGGATTGACCCACAGGGACAGGATGTAGTCACTCAGGACAGCGCGCCAATCAAAGCCAATTAGTCCAGGCCAGGTGGATACACTTGGATTCTAGCGAGCGAAAGCCCAACTGAAACGGCTCAGAGGAACGGCTCAGCGAGGTCAGAATCTGGGCGGAGACACGATAGTCCTCCTGACAGTGAAGGAAACAACGCAGGAGGTGACAAGGCCCCTTGTCAGTATAGAACCGCCCTTCCAGGAAGCAGACTCAGCGACTAGGATGTCGCATGAAAAATGCACGTGAACAGGCGGCTGGTTGGGCTGAAGCAGCGAGTGAACACACCAGAATCTGGGCTCACAGCTGCCAGCACGCGATAAAACGCTGCGGGGACGTAGCGGCGGAAAACCAATCCACAAGGGAGGCCAGCTCCGAGACATGGAAGACCTTCTGAAAGTAGCGGATCTGGCTGCCAGGAAAACGGACAAAATCACGAGTCAAGAGGCAGAATCAGGACAAGCATCAGCACAGGCCGCACACTGAAGCAGCAGGCATCAGCGGGCTGACAAGAATGCAACGTGCGTTGACCAAGCAGAGGCGCAGCGCTGAAGAAGCTTAGAAGTGGCAGACCAAGGCGGGGCAGGAGCCGAGAGCGGCCAGAACACGGGCGCGCAGGCGAGAATCAACGAAAACTTCCCTGCAAGAAGCAACTCCTCACAACGAGAAAAATATCAGCGTCAGACTCGGACAGAAATGACCGACACGGTGAAACAATAGCTGATGCTAAGGATGGAGGGTGTAATATAACACGCAGGCAGGCGTGTCACATAAAAGCGCCGTCTGGCGGCAGGCGGACACCTGCGAGAGGAGCACGGACACCCGGGCAAGCAGACGCAAACGATTCGACACAGGAGCGGTTGCTGACTAATACCTAAAAACCAGTGCCCAGCGCTTGTCCATGTCTACCAGCCCGTCCGCACAGGCAGCAACCCTGGCAACGTAGGTATCCAAAGGCGGCACCAGGAGACGCAGGCAGTTTCCAGAACGACAACCTTCACGCTTGGCGACGAGAGAAAGGATCGGGCACGAAGATCGAAAGACAGATCAATCTCCACGGGCAGGCGTGGCATGGGTGAGAAGTTGCGGACAGGCAAAAGGGCCACCACGCATCAGGCGAGTACTCACAGGAAGGAGCTGCACAAGGCGACAACCCCCGAACTGAAGCAGCCAGGCAACAGCTATAGCAACAGGGAAAACAAGCACCTGTCAGGCAGTCCACAGGCTCCTTGCCCAGAGCAACCGGGCAGATGCGCCCACACATAAGGTCAGGACACCCGGAGAGGGCAGGGAAATCAAACAGCTTGGTAAGCAGGCGGCCACGAACCGTGAGTGAAAGGTTTGCCGTTGATCTGCAGCAGGAGGATCACCTTGGCTTTACCCATGGGCGACGTGGGAGGCGGAGGCGTGACACGGGATAGAAACAAGAGGAGGCTGCAGATGGCCTCATTAGGCGCATCTGCCTGACCCCTCGTAAACTCTGCGGTCGTGGTTCAGACACACCTTCAATCAAAAAAGGGAGGAGTGAGGGATCAGACGGCGTGGCCAGGGCCAAGGAGGAAAACTGATCAGTGATGCGATTGTCATCAGCACAGGAACTTCACGAGCGCTGTAGCCAGTACATTACTTTAAAATGACACCCAGACTCCACACGGGCGGAAAGGTTGACGGACCAGGCACGGGCAAGCACAGACCGTCAGCGCCACAAGCCCAAGCACACGCCAGACAGCCCAGGCGGCACGAAAACAAACGAGGCCATCGCAAGGCAAGGCTAAGCAGCCAAGCTGAACACCAGACCCAAACGCAGTCGGGGCATCGACCTGCCCTAAGCTAGCCTTAGCTGCAGGAACTCACCTATGACCGTGCAAAATTGTGGAGGACAAGACAAGTCAAGCACGCCATATAGCCAGAAGCAAATTCGAAGCACGCTGCAGACTGCAGGGGCCAAAGTGAGAGTGAGCAGGCCAAACGTTCCGAGCCGTCGTGTCGGGAAATGAACTTCGCTTTTGCGAGTCAAAAACTCAGCACGTTTATTCCTCCGCACCAGGAGTAAGCATCCATTCACAACCTACTAGGAACGCACTTCCGGCATGTGACCACGAAGAAGTCGAGGATACGTCAACTCAAGCATTCTATAGCAAGTTCAGCAGTCCACTGCAGGCATCACAAGTAGAAAACCTCTGCAACTGATTTCTTTGCAGGGTTCCCAACGTCCGTAGGCCGTGGGAATTGAACTCCAGTTCCACAAGCTCTGTTCGAGAACGCGTGGTAAGCTCTGAGCGACACGAGCGTCATGACTTGCTCCCCACTGGCCTGCTGCAATTTCCTGTAGACAGGTAGATCTGCGTCCCGCACGTAATGCCGCGGCTCGCCAAACGGAGAAATCTTCGAGGCAGGCACGCCGTACTGGCGATATGCGGCTTTAGGCGGAGGCTGCCGAGGCCTAGAAGCGCCTGAGCAATTTGCCGGGCCGCACGGAGCAAACGCGTTGGCGGAAGTCCATGTCGCAGGCGGAACTACGCCGCCCAAGGGACGGCCCTGATCCACTTCTAGTGGAAACTCCTCCTTGACGCCACCGTCCTCTTCACGGCCCAGATCTACCATGGTATCTACCAGACACAGATCTGAAGGCCATTAGAGCCGAGTGCGTCTATCTGCGAGCCAGCTCGCGAGGCGTTCAACACCGGCGGAGTCCTTGGAGCGCAAGCATGGATTCACTGCACTTTACACCAGACCAGAAAACACACCCAAGGAACGAGTCTGGGGCACGGCGATCATACTTGGCATAATGGAGCACCTCATATTGTCAAGCTGCGCACGTGGGCACTGGGCACGCCGCATTTTTCCGGGGACGTACATGGTTGGACTTCTACAGCATCGTCCCTTTGAGGCACTCTCACTAAATCCTAACAGTTCTCGCGCGACGAAGACCACGAAGGAGAAGTTGAGAAGACGACCATGACGCTGATAACTGGGAGAATGTCCACATAGACGATGACCCAGAATAACTCAAGCACTTGTGTATGCAATATATATATATATACAAGAAGCGCATGTAGCTGTATAGCTGTACATGAGCAAGTATATACTTGCGAGCATTTTGTGTATTCATTCTCGTATGTACGCAAATATACATGTACTTGCCTTTATACTTACGCGAATACACACACACACAAGCAGCACAAATGTACTCACATACATACATACATACATACATACATACATACATACATACACACACATACATACACACATACATACACACATACATACATACATACATACATACCTACCTACCTACATACATACATACATGCACGCACGCATGCATGCATGCACGCACGCATGCATGCACACATACCTACATACATACACACATACATACAAACGTACATACATACATACATACATACAAACGTACATACATACATACATACATACATACATACACGCACATACATACACACATACACACATACACACATACTCACATACTCACATACATACATACATACATACATACATACATACATACATACATACACACATACATACATACATACATACATGCATACATACATACATACATACATACACGCAAACATACATACATACATACATACACACATACATACATACATACATACTCACATACATACGTACATACATACATACATACATACAACTCCTTGAAACCATGGAGGAAGGACTGGAGAAGGAGCATATGAAGATGCTTCTGCGCCAGGCTCGTCGCGCGAGCGTGATGGTCGCTACAATTTCGTAGTGGTCCAGCGCACAGGCTACCGCGCGGCGCGACTGACCTTGTCCATGTCCAGCCTTTCGATAGCTGTGTTGCGATGTTCTATAAGAGCAGCGTGTCAATGCGCGCAGTGGCCAGTGGCCGCCTTGCGTTCAATATCCTGGACTCCTTGGTCGCATTCTGTGTGCCTTCCGGAGGAAGATCTTCTCAATGTTTATCAGTGTTTCTGGCTAGCCTCGCAGGTGTGAGGAGATATTTTGCTGTCAGACCACCGTACAAGGGGGGCAGATTTTCAGCGCTGAAGGGAAAGGAACGTAGGGACGTACACTGCTGGAGATTTGCGCGCGTGTCTGGAGAAGCAGGGGCGCGGTCCCCGACAGCTGGCAACGCTAGATCTGGAAGCTAAACAGCTGGCGTTCAAGCTCAATGTTGCGCGCTCGGTCAAGGAAACTGACACGGTAGCTATGTGGATGCAAGAAGCGCTAGTTTTACATTACCAACTGCGTGTAGCCAGTCCGAACACGATGTGAGCTAGGCCGGGAGACGTTCCTGCAGTGTGAGGTGACGCACGCGTCAGGTGGTTGCCGTAGTGGTAGAGTGGTAGCGGGCGGGCAGTAGGAGTTTAATAATTTCTGCTTGCGTTGACAAGGCCGAGGCATATATGTAATCATACATACACATAATGCTTCCCCGCTGCGGCGATTTGTTCGTTTGGGAGTGTTGAGATAATGCAGGCGCATCAATTACAGTCGGCGCAAACCAGCAAGGATCTGGAAAGTGGGAGATGGCTGGAACGCCTGGAGTCGGGAGATGGGGAGATTAGGAGGTGAGTGGAAAGCTGAAAACAATATGTATGTGTGTATGTAGGTGGGTATGTAGGTGGGTAGGTAGGTAGGTAGGTAGGTGTGTATGTGTGTGTATGTATGTATGTATGTATGTATGCATGCATGCACGCATGCATGCATGCATGCATGTATGTATGTATGTATGTATTGCAAAGTCCAAGGCGGCACCTTGCAGCTCATGATAGGTGAAGGAGTCACGAATCTACAGGGCTCCGGGAACTTTTGACAGAACTCATCTGGCACTGCTTCAGCGCAGCAGCGAAAGCCAAGCACAAATCACATGGGTACTCGGCCTCTTCACGCATCAAAAGTGAAGTTGGCACACTGGTCCTCATCACTCGTGAGCATTGTGTGTCTACAGCCAAGAGTGCCCAGGAGAGTCGGGCGTGTGAAGCAGGCCGTGCAACGACGTGAATATAACGCTTTCTCGGGCAACGGCGCTCCGTCAGGGTCTTTCTGCAAGATCCACAAGCGCCACTTTTCTTGAGCGCACCCGGGCGGCCCGCACACCCCCCTCCTGTAGAAAAGAATCAGCGCAGGTGATGATAGATTCCAGCAGTGAGCCAAGTTCTGCCTCCGCAAACGGATCCGGGCTGCAAAACAAAGGACCGCGTCAACTGCCGCAGGCGGGAAGCGGACCACCGGAGCATCTTTGCCTACTCAAAAACGGCGAGCATTTTTGGCAGGATTGCAGATTGCACGCAGGGTCTCTTGAAGGCGGCAGCAAAGGCCCACGCAGCTGCTTCCCCAATGGGTAAAGCAAGGAATCCTGCACCCCCGGAAGGAAGCGCATAGCAAACCTCTGAGCCACTTTTAAGCGGCCCCCATTTTTCCACTGTTCCGGCTCCGCTTGTAATCGAAAACCCACGTTTATCAGTAGGCACTTCCTCGTCGTCCGGCCCCGCTCATAGCCGGCCTTCAACACTTCATATCATTCATCTTCTGAAGCCCAGTCCTTTGACTCACAATGACGGCTGGAAGAAGGAAGGCGCGCCCAACGTTCGGATTTGAAGCCAAGTCTGAAGGAAGGCACGCTTTCACATCCACGGAAGGCCATGCCAAAATGACCTGGTCAGAGCCTCACCCGTAGGCAGCCTTGCATTCCTTGGGGAGTCATCTACGTCTTCCTTCGCGCTGCTGAAGCTTTCTCTTTGCCCTTGTTCCCTCCTTTCTGTTCACTGCCCTTCCGATCTCCCTTTGGATTCTTATTCACTCTTGGGCTCTCACTCTTGTCGCCCCCCTTCCCTCAAAGGTTCTGAAAACGGCACATCCAAGGTTGCACTCAAGGTTTTTGAAGCCACTCCAAAGCGCCGTTACCCATGGCTTTTTCTTTCGCTTCTTCTTTGTCTTTCTTCTGCGTATCCTGATTCCCCTCCATAGAGGACGCAACCCCGAAGACTCGGACGCAGAGGCAAACCAGCCCAAGGGCAGGCCACCTTCTGGAGCTTTTGGGTCAAAGATTCAGACGAATGCTGATGGGCGTCTGCGCAGCCGTGGCCGAACCAACCTAAGGGCTTGCCAGCTTCCGGGATTTCTTTTTGGGTCAAGACCCTGCTCCTCTTTTTCTTGCTCATATCCTTGCCCTTGAAAACCTCGGCTGTGGCTAGTACTTCTCCCTCGGATTTCCATTTTCGCGCAGCCAAGCTCCTTTGCCTGAGCTGACAGTTCGGACTTGGCACCACGTCGGCCACGGCCGTGAAAAGCAGCAGCATCTTCATCTTTAAAAGTCAGCCCATGCCACTTGGCCCTGCGTTAGGGTCATCTCGGGTGCTGACACTTCCTCCTTCACAACCTTCTTTTTCGCGAGGTCGCCTAACGTAATTTGTCGGAAACCCTCAACGTGAAAGTCTTGACCTCAGCCACACTGACATTCTTCGCAATGCCCCTATGCCTTAGCACAAATGTGCGTCTCAAACTGCCAGTTCTCGCTTTTTACATGGCAAACATTGCAAGGGCAAGATGAGAAAATGTCATGATTCCGTTTGACAAGCGCAGCACTTGTCACTTCAAATTTTGACAGTCCGCTGGACTAAGCAGGTGGTCGTGGCACGCCAAGCATGAATGGTATGGAAAACCATTCCTTTTGCAACCGTTAAGCATGCCGGGAGATGTTCACAGCAATGCGGACGTGGTTTGACCTGCAAATGGCTTCCACCCGCCTTGGGCGCATACTTTGCCACTATGCCGGTCGTGCGATCATCAAATCTGCTACCTCTGCAGACTTGAAGGCAGAGTCAAAGCAAGCACGAGCTCAATTTGCATGTGCAGGCCTACAGCAATGATGCAGTCTGAGTTCTGGATTGCGAAGTTGGCATATGCTGCCCTGTCGATCGCGTCAAGTCATCTTGCAAACGTCTACGGGGTTGAGAGAAAGCTAAGGATGCCACCCGTGCATGCCAAGCATGTGCAACGACAAAGGCTCGCGCTCGTCGAAAATGCCCATGCCATGGCACTTGGCATGCAGATGACATGGAGCAAGAGGAATCAACCGTCTGCAAAGTAAGCTTGCAACTGTTGTCGTCACGGGTATCTTGGCCTTCTTTGCCAGCTGCGCCAACACTTCTGGGCAATGGCTTGCGCCTTAAGGCTCAATTCACAAACATGTTTGCCGCATCCAAATGCCACGTCTCCAAGGTCAGAGCCCTGGCCCACATACAAGATTGGACGCTTAGCCTTGTTTATAAGATCAGCAGCCTCGCAGCCACGCAAGCTGTGAGGAGATCTGTTTGACAGCAAGACTCCAGCCTTCTGGACAGCACCCATGTCCAACATGGGAGGCGCATCCGCTGTCAATGTTGATGCCTTCTTGAAAATTGCGTCTGGCACCTGCGCCTTCATCGACACAATGTCCTGACATGCAGGCCGTGGCACGTCGTCAACTTTCATTCGGGAATTTCGGCTGCTGACATGTCCTTGGGCAAGTCGATATGGCAAGGCCCAGGGCGACCGGAGGATGCAATGCGAAAAGCCTGCAATCAACAGATGAAAAGCAGCTCTACACCAAAGCGAGCTCACAACTCAGCCTCGTTTACAGCCCATGGGAGCTGATTGAAATCTAGGCAAACCTTGATGTGTTTATCGGGAGGCATCTGAACAACCTCTCACAGCGTGTACCCTGAGGCTGCCACATAATTCCATTTTGTGCAGGACCGTGTGATTTCAGTTGCTGGACACTCCTGCAGAAGCAGCAGATGACTGGGGCCTTGAACGTGTGCAATGATGGGTTAGGGTCTCCAGGCAACGTGACGCTCTTGGTCAACGCTACACATGCGCTTGCGGGATGCTCGCATTTCACAGCAATGCTGGCTGTGTCACTACGGATTCACTCTGCAGATGCCCTTGCGTGAGGATGCAGACGCACACATGTTGTGCTTGCTTTTATGATTGAAGCTTCCCTGCTTTGGGACATAGCTTATCAGGGAGTGTAGGTTAATGCCCACAAGCCCGCCCAGATGAAGCCATTGCCGATCACCGGCCTACTGCAGTACATACGGATGAGTTGGACATAATTGAGATCTTCAGCAATGGGCAGCATCTCAACTTTCCACGTGTGGGTGTGGATGCGCGCGCGTCGTCCTTTTCAAGCAGCCTGGAGTCGCAAGAGGTCGCTACAGCCAGTCAGACAGCACGACGTGGCTGATGTGGTGAAGTCAGCCTCAGTCCAAAGACGAGCAGCATCTTTGCATTTGGATTTGATAGCCTCAGCCTTAGCCGCTGGCTGCACCGTTGCAGCAGGAACACTGCAATGAGGTGACACTCCAAGGGTCTGTGAGGCCGGGGAGAAGAAGCGTTGTGGAAGTGATGCCAGTTGAGCTGGTAGCGGAGCCTGGAACACTGCTTTCAGAGCGTGTGTCACAGAAACAGCCTGTAAAATTCTAGCAACGTTGTCGGGTACACTCCAACTATGGCAGAAACTTGTTGATGCAAAAACTACATCACGCTGAGATATCTGTAACAAAAACATTCCCTACGTAGCTGAAACATGTTCTTTCTGCATATCCACGAACTTCTGACTATGTCAGCTTTAAAGATCAGCTCTTGCACACAGGCTTGTGCAGCAAGCTCCTGGCAAGCTTCTGTTGCTGGAAACTATTGCAGACTCATGCTTCTCCCCTGAGACTTTGCAAATGAACGTGTAGGTTGGCCGTCTCGGCTTCATGTGTAATGATCATCGAACGGATTTTGGAATGCATGTGGTTTCAAAGGTTGTGCCTGTGGTAGTTTACAACCCCCTCCTGTTACTATTAAGACTACTCCCGTCGTATTATGCTGCCACTACTTCGACTCTGACTAACTATACCAAGAGGAAATCCTGAAAGCACCAATGCCAATACTACACCACCACCACCACCACCA